ATTTGTCACCAAACCAATCCCTGATTTGTCACCAATCTCTGACTTGTCACCAAACCAATCTCTGATTTGTCACCAAACCAATCTCTGATTTGTCACCAATCTCTGATTTGTCACCAAACCAATCTCTGACTTGTCACCAAACCAATCTCTGACTTGTCACCAAACCAATCTCTGACTTGTCACCAAACCAATCTCTGACTTGTCACTAAAACAATCTCTGATTTGTCACCAAACCAATCCCTGATTTGTCACCAATCTCTGATTTGTCACCAAACCAATCTCTGACTTGTCATCAAACCAATCTCTGACTTGTCACCAAACCAATCCCTGACTTGTCACCAAACCAATCCCTGACTTGTCACCAAACCAATCCCTGATTTGTCACCAAACCAATCTCCGACTTGTCACCAAACCAATCTCTGACTTGTCTCCAAACCAATCTCTGACTTGTCACTAAAGCAATCTCTGATTTGTCACCAAACCAATCCCTGATTTGTCACCAATCTCTGATTTGTCACCAAACCAATCTCTGACTTGTCATCAAACCAATCTCTGACTTGTCACCAAACCAATCCCTGACTTGTCACCAAACCAATCCCTGACTTGTCACCAAACCAATCTCCGACTTGTCACCAAACCAATCCCTGACTTGTCACCAAACCAATCTCTGACTTGTCTCCAAACCAATCTCTGACTTGTCACTAAAGCAATCTCTGATTTGTCACCAAACCAATCTCTGACTTGTCACTAAAACAATCTCTGATTTGTCACCAAACCAATCCCTGATTTGTCACCAATCTCTGATTTGTCACCAAACCAATCTCTGACTTGTCATCAAACCAATCTCTGACTTGTCACCAAACCAATCCCTGACTTGTCACCAAACAAATCCCTGACTTGTCACCAAACCAATCCCTGATTTGTCACCAAACCAATCTCAGACTTGTCACCAAACCAATCTCTGACTTGTCTCCAAACCAATCTCTGACTTGTCACTGAAGCAATCTCTGATTTGTCACCAATCTCTGACTTGTAACCAAACCAATCTCTGGTTTGTCACCAATCTCTGATTTGTCACCAAACCAATCTCTGACTTGTCACCAAACCAATCTCTGACTTGTCACCAAACCAATCTCTGACTTGTCACTAAAACAATCTCTG